ACAATGGCACTTCAGTTTGACAAATGACGAAGCAGCCCTGTTGACTGTGGTTCCAGAGTGGGGTGGGGTTGGAGGTGGGCCGAGAAAAGGCAGGGAGCCAGCATCCAGCAGGAAAGAGAGGCTGCCAGGTCCTCAGCCCCTGGGCCCAATGTGAATTTTGTTACTCCAGGCAGAACAACAATATGGACCCTCCTTTGGGTCCTGGAGGAGGACCAGAACTGTAACTATCTTATATCAGAGATAAGGAAACGGTAGTGGACACCTTGCCCAGTGACTGGGTATCCTAGGGATGTCCTGAAGTGCTAATGTAACTAGCAGGACACACAAACAGTGAAAACACAATAAGCACAGAACCCTTGGCACAGTGCCCCCACCATGATGCCCTTTATCCCACATTATTTCCCATGATGATTAATGTAAAAGTGACATTGTTTTGCACAGACGTCTAAGAATATAAAATACGTAGACATATTTCTTACATGAACTGTAAAAATGTCCTTGGCCTAAAGTTTGCGGGGGAATAAGATAATTACTCTCTTTCTATAATACAAATCAGAAAGCGACACGTGTCTTAGGTATAGAAGGTATAATAAAAGGACTCATTAGCTCCCCCAGGGGAGAATTATTTTCTTCTGTGACTGCTTCAAGGATGTATTGTGTTTCCACAGACCTTTCACTGTGGTGGTTTTCCCCCAACTTCCTCATCATCAGCTATGACCCTGACTAGACTCAGGGGTTCAAGTCCTATTCCTCAGCAAGGGCACCACATAATCTTGAGAACTACATCTTAATCTACATCTTCTCTTGAAATTCAGTTCTTGGTTATGTTTCATTAAGGACCACCAGAGATTATCTGGAGCAACTTCGGTTGCTACATCAATGACACTGTGCAGGATCTCAGCAGATGCAGGCTAATGAAGATGACATCAAGTGGAAACTCTTAGGAGAGGATGAGGGGCAGCAGAAGCCTAGGGAACAGCGACACTAGGCCAGGCCCATGCTGGGTATCTCCACACTCCATCGCATTCATTTCTCCTAACAACCCTGGGCAGCATCAGGATAATTTTTTTAAGGAAGAAAATAACACATATTCTATTCTTCTATAAAAGATTATAAAAGGGAGAATGGATATCAAAGCTGGCAAAAATTGGTGTGGGCACCTAAATATTCTTCCAATCCTGGTGATAAAGATTTTGTCTCAGGCATTTCCCAGTTATAGATTCACACAGGAAACAATCCCACCCTGTTCCATTACCAGCAATAAGCCCCATTTCAGCACTGGAGCCACACTAAGTAGTTCTGTCCACTATTCGGTGAATTCTCCCACCAAACGTGGTAATACACTCCTCCCTTGTAGAATGGCTTTGGGAACTAACTAAAGTATGGAAGACTCTTTAGAAGAAAAATAAAACAAAGGTTTGTTTCTCTGTTGGTTGAGGCTAAACATTCACTGGAGCCCTAAGAAGTACTTCCTTTTCCCTATTAGAAAACAAAGGCCTCCCCCAAATCTCAAGACAGTGCAGCAGCCTCAACATTTTCTGATGCTTCTGATAACTGAGCACAAAGCTGAGTATCCTGGGGTCACGATCACTGTCACTGTGACGACAGAGCTAGGTTTCTACAAGTGAGCAAGGTAGAGTTTTCAATCTTAAGAGTCCTTCCATCAACCACTCTAAGATGCGCGCGTGTGCGCGCGCACACACACACACACACACACACACACACACACACACATTGCAGAGAAGAAATATGGAGGATCTTCCATGGAATGGCAACCAGTTTTTCCTTTTCTTAAGGAACTTAATGGACTTTCAGACCACACACTGCCCCTGCTGGGGTAGAGCCCTCCTTTCTCTTGGTAATGGGATGTGACCACAAGGTGGATGCCTTCAGCATGATCAGCTGAGAGTGAGCCATAGGTAAAGCAGGGCTGCAAGGAGAGCTGTGATCTGGGCCTGGCAAGTGAAGAGCCCTGTGCCCGGGACCCCATGAACACAGTGGAAGATGAGCCCATTAGCTAGAGACCAGAAGGCATGGCGAAGGCAGCTGTGTTATGGCTTCCAGCAAGATGTCCTCTCCGCTCCATGGCTCACCTCTGAATTAGAGAGCCCTCCCACAAACTACTCGCTCAGGCTTTCTCATAACTCCAGAGCTGCCACATTCCCTCTTCTTTCAAAATTCCCAAACATAGAAGGAGGGTCTAGCACAGTGAGGTGCACAGAGCAAACAAAAACAAGGGTAAACAGGAACTGATGTGCCTACCTCTTTTACAAAACAGCTGGCTGAGTCAGGACAGTTATCCTGGGTTACTTGTCCTATTCAAGCAATTTTGGAATTGTGACAGCTATTCAACAGAAGTTTATTAAATGAATGGGTAGCCTGCTTTACTAATTAGCTGTGGAACAGAGAGCCCCTCCTCCATAAAAGTTTAACAGGGAGAGAGAATGAATCCCTCCTCACCCCCTACAAGCTGGGCAATGCCGCAGGCCATCACAGAGGTCAAGAGAAGGTGGAAGCGGTGGTTTCACTTCCCATAGTCAGCTGTTAAATGGGGAACACTGCCCATTTCTTAAGCCCTGGGAAACAAGCTGTCACCCCACCGGGCCAGAGGGGAGACTACACCCACCCGTTTTTCAAAAATAGAAGCTGGGTGATCACCAGACTCTTTCAATTGCCAAGAGCTTCCCAGATCTGGAATTAAAGGTCTTCAGCAAGCACCCCAGCAGAAAGGAGCGAGGACATGGCTCACGCAGTAACTATTTCCTCACACCCTTGTTTAAATGTAGATCTGCACACACAGCCTTTACCCAACATGCCTCCCGCTTACCCACACTCAAAAACACCAAATTAAGTCAAGGCCAGAGGCACTTGGGTTCTGCAGAGATATTTTCAATTAATCTTGAAGCCACTTAAAAGGAGTGTTTTCCTCTCTTGCTCTACACCCAGCACATTTTCTGTGGCAGCTAGGTCAAGCCTGAGCAGCATTTCACCATTGACTCAATATCAAAATATTCCTGGGTTGCCCTCTTCCCAACTTTTGTTTTTGATATTCTTGCCCCATCCTCCACCCCTCTACACACACAATACACAACACGCACACACACACACACACTGTTACACACATTCTTTTTAAGGTACAAGACACCACAAAAAACAAATCCTGGACTTAAGAGTCATTCCAGGCACAAAACTCAGCAATTGTGTACCAGAACAGGGAAACTCGAAAATAGGTGTCACAGAGGCAAGCTCCTGTGCTGGTCTTTTCACACTTTCACACCTGGTGGGCAGTTCAAGTGGCCCCTTCCTGAGCAGACCAGACCAGGGATCAGGGTCAGCCTCCAGTTGCCAGATCACTGGACAAACAAGCACTCAGGAATATCAGGGAAATCTTGCAACTTTCTCTTTCAAAATCCTGCTTTGATGACGTTTGAAAATTCTATCAGAAAGAACTTTAAGAGTTCTTTTTAAATTACACATATTTATTTTCTTCCCGGGCTGGAGCGATAGCACAGTGGGTAGGGCGTTCGCCTTACAAGCGGCCAACATGGCCGACCCGAGTTCAATTCCTCCGCCCCTCTCGGAGAGCCCGGCAAGCTACCGAGAGTATTGGATATGCCAGACACAGTAACAACAAAGTCTCCAATGGAGACGTTACTGGGCCCGCTCGAGCAAATCGATGATCAACGGGAGGGCCTTTACTTTACTTTTCTTCCCATCATAAATTTTGAGATTGGAAAACACAGAAAATGCATAAAGGCTTAAACTATAACCAAGATCCCCTAGAAAACAAAACTATTAACATCAGGTGAATTTTCTTCAGTTTTGTCTACGATGGCACTCACATAAACTGAGATCATAATTATGCAAAGTTTTTTTATCCTGATTTCATCACTTAAATATACCTAGAGACATTTTTATTAAAGGCTCTTAAAAGACCCCAAACCATTGTCTCCAACTATAAAGCTAGAGTTACTGAGAGATTTTTCTAAGAGTAGTATTACGTATTTAAATATGTTAGCCCAGAATTCTGACAGGAGAGAGGGTTCACTCTTCTTAAAGTGCAAATAATAATACATTTCCTTCTTTAGCTTGAAAAGCATCCAGAGGAGCTACTTTTGTGTCCTCGGCTAACAGGCACAATAGGACATTTTCCATTTTTCACTTTCTTGCATCTTCCTTGATAAGGAGGAAAGCTCTGAAATCTCACTGTTTCTTAAGAAAGTGCTCTGCTGCTGAGAGAAACCCGCAGAGAGCGGCAGTATTGCAGGAAGTTTCCTGAACTTGAAGCAGAAAGAAACAGGATTCACATTCTGAGTCTGCTGTGCACCCCCCCTCCCCAAATCACAGAGTACCCACTCCCCTTACACCCACAGCTGTTATCCAAGCCAATGGGGCAAACTTCTCTGCTTTAGCCAATCTGAGTGTGGATGTGCTTTGTCAGAGACAAGTGAATGCAGGACAATCATCAGTCACGTCATTGCGACAAGTAACCCTACTGTTATTCTTAATTTTTGTTGTTTTTGGGGGGCCACAGCCAGCTGTAAAAGGGGCCTACTCCTCGCTCTCTGCTCAGGGATCACTCCTGGTGGGGCACAGGGAACTGACCATATGTGGTGCTGGAGATCAAACCCGAGTTGGCTGCATGCAAGGCAATACCTGCAGTACCATCACGCCAGCCCCAAAGTACTATTAATTTTGTTGCTGAGCTGGCTGGCACCACTCACTGGGAAGGGCAATGCCCAAAAGCAGGTAAAAGCACAGACCCTGGCATCACCTGCTCTCCCAGGCAGGGCGAAGGGTTTCAGTTTCTTCTCTGTAAAATAGGATCCTGATTCACCTATTCATAGGACTCTTGGGAAGATACAAGTGAGTTAATTTGCACACAATGGTCTAAAAAAAATGTAAACACTACAAAAGCGGAGCTTTGAAAAGTCAGGGATCTGCGGCCAAACACAAGACTGCAAGAAAGATGCCCGTCCCCTGCTCCTCTCTGCACCTACCTTCTCTGCATCCTGCTCGAAGAGCCGCAACTGGAAGCATTGGTCTAGCTTGAGCTTCCGCACGTGCCACATCTGGTGCAGGTGTTGCCGGGTGGAGTGCAGCTTGTCCAGCAGGCTGGTGATCTTGGGCACCAGGCTCTGGAAGTCTGCGCTGCCCGGGATGCAGTTGCGCCCTGAGAAGCCGTCGCTGCAGCGAATGCACTGCAGCAGCCGCTGCCCCTCCCGGTCCAGCTCCTCCACGGGGGCCTTCAGCACCTTCTTCTTGAGCTGCGTGTGCTCATCAATGAGCCGCCGAGAGCCCTCCACGTCTACGGGGAACTCCTTCCGGGCCAGCATCTCCTGGAGGTCCTCAAGGCGCGAGAGCAGGTGCACGGCGCTGTTGAAGAACTCCTCCAACGAGAGCCGCAGCTCAATCCACTCCTCGTGGTTGTAGTCCAGCGAGCCATCAAACTCCTCGGTCAGCTGGGAGGGGTCCACCAGCTTGGTGAGGCCCTCCACAGACACCATGCTCGTCTAAAGGGACAGAGACAGAGACGGAGGCTCAGTGATGAGGGGGGAGAACACAGAGGGGAGCGGAAGAACTGAGCAGGCAAGACAAGAGAAAGTCAGGGGAAAGAGCCAGGATGAGGCCACATCACAATGAGCATGTAGTGAAGGAAAGGGAAAGTTCAGGAGGCCCAAAGCTGCCAGGATCAGCAGGATGAGGACTAGAGGTCGAGCTCAGAAAGCCTCACTAGAGGCCAGAGAGGGAGTGTGGGGGCTAAGGCACTTGCTTTGCATACAGAAAACTCCAGTTTGATTCCTGGCACCATATATGGTCCCCAGTGCACAACCATAAGAGATCCCTGAGCACAGAGCCAGGAGTAAGCCCTGAGCACCACTGAGAGTGGTCCAACACCCCTCTCCCCGCCCAGTCCCAAAGCCTCCCCACCTGCCTGCCACTGCTATTTTGTCTGGAAAGACTTCTGTTTTGTCTCATCCTATCCATCTTTCTCCTCCAGCTCTCCAAGTCTACTGCAGCAGAGCTTTGGATGCTAGAGGCAGAAAGAATCTGGAAGGAAACAGAGCCAGTGACTGGGAGTTTAGGTATCCATAGGTGAAAGGCCGGGTCGTCACACTGGGCTCAGCACTGCAGGCAACATGGTGCTTCAAGAATAAGTGTGGGTGAAGAATGGGCACTGGTGGAGGGATGGATACTCGATCGCTGTATAACTGAAACCGAAGCACAAAAGTTTGTAAGTCTACAACTGTACCTCATGGTGTTTCACGAATTAAAAAAAAAAAAGATGCCACAATAAAAAAAAAAAGAATAAGTGTGGGGGCTGGAGTGATAGTACAACGGATAGGGCATTTGCCTTGCATGTGGCTGACCCGGGTTCGATTCCCAGCATCCCACATGGTCCCCCGAGCACCACCAGGAGTAATACCTGAGTGCATGAGCCAGGAATAACCCCTGTGCAATGCCAGGTGTTACTCAAAAAAGCAAAAAAAAAAAAAAAAAACGTGAGTCTTCCTAGGTCAGCCCTGAAGGCTTCCCTGGGCAGCGTTGCCCTGTTCTGCCAGGGTAAGTGGAGCGAGCAGCCTAGGCACTTGGCTTATTTAGTGTGCCCCCACAACCCATTAGAGAGAAGAGTGGAGAATGGTAATCTCCAGAGAGCAGAGCAGCAAATGCGGATAGAGGCAACCACTCAGACATACCAAGAAGCAGATGCCCCTCCCATCAGCATTCCCAGGATCTCTTCTCAGGAACGTCCCTGTCCAGAGTTCCCACTATACTCAGTAGTCACATGATCCGGGGTGAGCTACTGACCTCAGAGACCCAGTCTTTCCTAGGAGTTGAAGATCCTAACACTCTTCTCTAAGGGCTATGCTGGGGTTCAAAGTGTGCAAAAGCATCAGGGGTGCAAAGCCCATCCTGTGAGTACTGGCGCGGCCAAGCAAAATGCTGCTGCGTCATTCCTGGAGTCCTACAAGCAGCTGATCTCTGCAGACAGCTGTTCTCTGCGCCTCTCCTCCTCGCTCCCTTTCCCTCCCGCTCCTCCCTAAGACACAGCAAGGAGCTGCCAGTGTGCAGACTATGGACTGGGGCTTTTAAGCCTGACTAAGCATTTGAATCCCCATAGGGAGTAACAAACCACTGATATTCAGCCCCTCCCCTAAAAAGTCTAATTTAGTTGGCCTTGACTGGAGCTTGGACATGCCTGGGTAATTCAAAGTCTCTTCATCCTGCACCCCCTACACCAGTAGATTCCAAGACACAGCCTGCATGTCAGAGGCAGCTATGCTGATCTAGACCCCAGTTACTCAAAGTTCGGAGCTCAGACCAGCTGCGTCAACATCACATGGGAGCATGTTAGAAAGTAGAATCACCGGGGGCTGGAGCAATAGCACTGCGGGTACGGCGTTTGCCTTGCACATGGCCAACCTAGGTTTGATTCCCAGCATCCCATATGGTCCCCTGAGTACCGCTAGGGATGGTTCCTGAATGCAGAGCCAGGAATAAGCCCTGTGCATCACCAGGTGTGACCCAAAAAGCAAAAAAATAAATAAATAAAAGTAGAATCACCGGCACTATCTCTTATCTACTGAGATAGAATATGCATTTAACAAGATGAGGAGATGTGGGGTGCTGTGCACTAGACTTTGGGTAGCCTTCTCTCCCCTAAAATGTTACCTAAAGCTTGCCACTTCCAGGGGTCTCTCATATTATAATCACTATTTTATATTAACTATTTACCATACAACAAGCTGCACTCTGAGGTTCAGATCCCTGACTCAGTGTGCTACCTATTACATGGGCTATTGTTTTGGTTAATTTTGTTTTTAGGCCATGCCTGGTGGTGCTCAGGGATTAATCCTGGCTCTGTACTCAGAAATTTCTCTTGGAGTTGCTCAGGGATGGAACTGGGATCAGTTGTGTGTGTGTGCAAGGCAAATACCTTACCCACTGCACTATCTCTCTGGCCCCATTTGCTATTTTTAAGACACTGCTGCATAACTGTTCTTCTGAGTGGAAGGGCCTCAGTATCTCTCTTCTACTTCTAGTTTAGGAAACAGAGGAAAGTTTGTTCAACTGGTGAAAAGGGGCAGTACAGGGAGATGGAAGAACTGGGCAGCACTGCCAACGAAATTCCAGGCTTTTTGAAGAATTGTTTTCAAATCCTTAGCCTATCAAGTTATAGGCCTGCTGTTATTGCCACTATGTAAACAAACCAAAAATACAAAAAGCATTTCCCTACAGAGCTCTTAGGGCTGGGAAGGGATCCTAGGAGAATCTGAGGATTAGCTGTTTATATACAAAATCTAATTTCTTGCCTTACTACACAGAGTGAGAACTACCCAGTTCAGGAGGTCAGGCTGTTGTGATCAAATTGCAGCCTACTGACTCTCCACCGTCACCCCAAGCCTCACAATCCCTCCCAGCCCCAGGGGAAATGGGTCTGGAATGGTTCCACAAGATGAAGAGCAGCTCTGTCTGTCCAATACACACACACACACACACACACACATACACACACACGCATACACACACATGTGCTCAAGGTTCAGCCCTTTCCATAGGAGGCCCAGAATTTGAGGATTCTGCTTCTTAAGGTTCCTCAAGAAAAAGGAACCAACCAGAATGGTACAAACTATCCTACTTAATTAATTTACTCTCATATGTGTTTGTAAGAATTTACACATGTGCCCTCTGGAAAAAACTAGCTTTAAATAATTTGATTTTGGAGGCTGGAGAGATAATACAGCAGGTAGGGCATTTGCCTTGCATGCAGCTGACCCAGATTTAATCCCCGGCACCCCATATGGTCTTCCAAGCTCACCAGGAGTATTCCTTGAGCAGAGAGCCAGGAGATGCCCTGGTGTGAACCAAAAAATACTAAAACCAAAAACTAACTTTTCCTGAGTATAAAAACAAATTTAAAAAGAAAATAGACCGAGAAAGATGACTGGTTAAAGAAACTTTGGTACATCTACACAAATGGAGTACTATGTAGCGGTGAGAAAAGATGAAGTCATGAAATTTACATACAAATGGTACTACATGGAAAGTATCATGTTAAGCAAAATGAGTCAGAAAGAGAGGGATAGACATAGAAAGATTGCATTCATCTGGGGAACATAAAGTAACAAAATAGAAGACTAACACCCAAGAGTGGCCAAGATTAGTACCAGGAGTTTTGCTCCATGGCTTGGAGGCCAGTCACACATGCTAGGGGAAAAGGAAGCTCAGATAGGGAAAGGAACACCAAATAAAGGGAGTTGGGAGGATCCTCCCAGGATGGGAGAAGCATGCTGAAAGTAGACTATAGACCAAACATGATTGCCACTCAATGCTTCTTTTGCAAACCACAACACCCAAAAGCAGAGAGAGAACAAAAGGGAATGCCCCACAGAGGCTGGGTGGGGTGGGAGGGATGCTGGGACCTGTGGTGGTGGAAAATGGGCACTGGTGGAGGGATTGAAACCCAAGCACAAAAATTTGTAAATCTACAACTGTACCTCATGGTGTTTCACTAATAAAAATTTAAAAAATAAATAAATAAAAAGAAAATAGAGAAATGTGATTAAGTCACCTGTATCCCAGCCACCTCTAGTAATCTACTGTTAACATCTCATGTAATACTGTCTCAGTCTTTTCTATCTATATACTTAAAATACTTTAGATTATATTAATCAGACTATTTAATCCATTTTCTAAAAAGCAATATGTGAATATCTCAATGACACTATCTAAATATTAATTTTAATTATTTCATAACGTTTGTATTAATGTTATTAAACTACATGGGCATTTAGGCTATGAACAATATAAGTGCATATGTTATGTATATATGTATATACAAATGTATATTACTGAAAAAACACTAGTGAACATTTTTATAGATCTTTTAGTCTATAATTACATAAAAAATAAGAAATTACAAAGGTAAAAATAAAAAACACTTTCCTAAAAGAAAGACTACATTAATGAATATACACTCCAAGTAATCTGATACAAATTACAAACTGCCCTACAAGAACCATCTCAACTTGCATTCAGCAAGAGTAAGCAGGATCCCCATTGATCCTGGACATTTGGGACAAACGTTGGAGTCTCTCATTCCTCCCACGACTTTATAGTTAAATCACAGTGGCCATGGAATCCGGTAGTACCAGTCTCTATCATGGAGGATATCACTGCACAGGAAAAGCAGCAGATGAGGGTAACAGGAGAACAGCAGAAGAAAAGAGAATGGAGGTAGTTCAAGAAAGGTCTGGCTCACCTCAAAGATGAATTTGGAGCTGCCAAAATTGGTCTTCTGCTTCTGCCAGAAGTTGTCGGGTTTGATGATGAGGGCCACATGGATCTCAGCTGGAAAGGCTTCCTGCAGTGTCTTAAGGAGGGGCTTAATGAGGTCCCACTTGGAGCCCCGCATGTCGATGATGACAGTGAAGCCACGTTTGCACACGTCCTCGCTGTTGGGGAGGGGTAAAAAGTCAGGAACGTCACTGAACAATTCAGACTTGGAGTACTAAGTCAAAAAGCATCCAGAAACCCACATTTCTTTTCATCTGAACTGGACCAACTGTCCTAATTCACAATAGGTCTCTTGGCTTCTTTCAACTTCAACTCAAAATCTACTGCCTCAGAAACCCTCTGTGTTTAACCCCATTTGACACGGGCCTTCTGCCTTCTCTCAGCACTTTAGAATTTAGATTGTTGAAGGAGGGGAATTAGGGTCCTTTGGGGAGAGATTCAGGTACACTAGTGATGGTGTGGTATTGGAATTATATGCACAAGAAGTCATTAATAACAGTCTTGTAAAATACAGAATCTCAATCAACATTAAAATCAAAATGGAAAAGAAAGGTCTCAATTCTCCCCATGTCAGTTACACTTGCTGGGATGCTCACTGTTTGGGTACCCACAAGTGTGTCTGAGTTTGTTCCTTTGTCTCCCTCTTCTGCTAGCTCTAGCTCCCCTAGGATCCCTGCTGTTCTTCGGCAGGAGCCTTCCACACACCCACATCCAAGGTAGACACTAGCACATTCTGGCACTGAACTGGGCCAACAGATTTTTTTTCAATAAAGGTCTCTAGGCTTATTCTATTAATTTGAGATGAACAAATATATATGCCACCAATTTACTGAGACGCATTTCTTGTAATTGAGAATGTATGTCATCAACTTTTATAGAATCAGATTGCTGAGTCATGCTGCTTATTCACAGGTAGCCAAGGGTGGGGCTGAGTAGAATGACAAACATAAGTCAATGTGACATGTGCTTCCTTGATAATAGGGTATTAAAAAGGCAAATTTTAGGAAGTTAAGAAAAAAGATGCCACTACTGGAACCAAAATCAGATGAAGTGACAATGACCATTCAGAACACCAAGGAAAAAAAGTCAGGCTATGAGAATGAAGATGTTACTAATATAACTTATGGTATAGCAAAGTTTACCAAATATTTGGAATTCAACTGTAACTGAGAAGAACTCAAAGGGGAAAAAAAAAGTACAAAGTTTGAACTAGTTATAACCTTCAGTTTGGAATAAAGTTTATGTTTGGGTAGTTGGAGGACCTTTTCTTTTTGGTTTATTTAACCTCATTGTTTATTTTGTAACTCAAAATAGACTTTCATTAAATCATATCTTAATAAAAGGGGTGTAGCATTTCCATAGAGTCCTTTGTTTATTTTGTGTTCCCCAGGTTCTATTGCGTCTCCTGTTGCATGACCATAAGACATGCCTTGCCACTTAACTATAGGCACAACTGGAGAACTTATGCCATAAAAGGGAACACAATGTCTCTTCAGACTTCATTCTCAAATCTCACCCAGGATGAGGCGGTCACAGCCTGGTGGAGACTATAGATAGCTCCCATGTCTGTAGGTGTTCAGGCCTCCTGAAGTCGACTTCGGCCTCTAGTTGAGAAATTCTCTAGTGTGAAAACTCCATGTTATATTACTGCAGAGAACTACACTGTGCAGGCAGGGAGATGGAGTCTTTGGTTTTCCATCAAATCCTGTCTCACAAAAGAAAGGATCCACCTCTTCCTTGACGCAAGTGTCCAGAGTCTTTCATAAATAATTTTCTCTGCCCTGTTGTCTCAAGTAATATGAATATTTCTTAAATTATAGATTTTCTTTCCAATTATAAGAGAAACACTACATAATTATATAAAAGTTAATATATTCGAACATCTATCTGAGATGCTAATGGTAAGAATGTATCTGGCCTATTTCCTTCTTGAACTTTTTGTATGAACTTCATTTTCTTTTTACATAGTGTTCAATTTTTCACTGTAAAATAATTTTTCTTATGTCTAATCTTAATTTGAAACTGTTAAATTTAATGACAAATAGTCCATCTTATGCCTACGCTATGATTTAATCATTCTGATTATTGTTTTATTTTTAAAAATGCATGTTGACTTCACATTCAATGTGAGAAGTTACTCTCTCCAGCTATGAGAGGAGCCCACTTATTGTGCTTTTATTAGTGCTAGTCACTAATTAAACATTTAATTAGGCATTTTAAAATCTTTGTTCATTTTCCTAGAATTTTTTAAATTTTACATTTAAATTTCCAATTCTTTGATTACTAGCACAGCGGTAGGGCATTTGCCTTGCACGCAGCCAACATGGCCGACCTGAGTTCGATTCCTCCGCCCCTCTCGGAGAGCCCGGCAAGCTACCGAGAGTATCTCGCCCACACGGCAGAGCCTGGCAAGCCACCTGTGATGTATTCGATATGCCAAACACAGTAACAACAAGTCTCATGATGGAGACGTTACTGGGCCTGCTCGAGCAAATTGATGAACAATGGGAGGACTGTGACCGTGTACAATACATCACGGGTGGCAAGCTACCAAGAGTATTCGATATGCCAAACACAGTAACACAAAATCTCCAATGGAGACGTTACTGGGCCCGCTCGAGCAAATCGATGAACAACGGGAGGGCCTTTACCTTTACCTTTACCTTTGATGCTAAGATTATTGTTCCATAAGAATTTTTTTCTGTGCCTTATCTGATCAGTACTTTTACCCATTTTTCTTTTTCTTTTTTTTGTTTTTTGAACCACACCCAGTAATTCTCAGGGTTGAATCCCAGTGATGCTAGGGGGACCATGCAATGTTAAGGAATAAACTTAGGGCATCCCCCATATGAAACATCTATTCAGCCATTTGATGTATCTCTCTAGCCACCTTTTCCATTTTTCTCTTGGGGTTCAACAGCCTCTCTCATTAGGCCTACTTTCCTATAGCTTGACTCCAAGCGTGAAAAGCCAATTTATGTCAAGTGCTACAACATAACTGTGGGTCTCACCTTTCAACAGAAATAACTGGTTTTCCTTTCCCTCAGGTTTCATCACTTACATTTATGATAAAATGACAAATATCCATCCTTAAAAGCAAATAATCAAGCTTGCAAAAGAGAGCTGGTGTTTGACTACTTCATCATCTAAATGTGGCGGTCTATATCACGTGATTCATTATTAACAGTCATTTCAAACACCTGAAAGTAGGAATCAGGTATTCTCCAGGAAGTTCTCATTCCCTCTGGAGCTAGGAAAGGAGACTCAGGGGCTGAATGCTGAAATCTGAGAGCCATCTTTGGGTGGAAACAACTTCACCTCCACGGTGCTTGTCTTCGAGTAACGAGTGAAGTGGGAAGACCCTGTAATACCCAACTTATTATATGTGGGGCATATTCTAGGAGTATTATTGGTCTCCTGACAAGTTAAGTTTATTCTCTCAATACCTTATAAACGTAGAACATCTCCATGTAAGGGGTGGAACTGAGGCACAGAAGCCTGCTAAAGAGCGCATGACTAGCAAATGGCTGAGTCAAAATCAGAACCACTGACTTTATAGCCTACACACAGGTTCCTAGACAGTGTTATACCTATTCCACTTCCCTTCTTGTATTTTCATAATTAGTATCTGTGGTATAGTGGCAGCAGTGAAGATATCAGGGTGCTAACAAGATTTGGAGAAAATGAGGAACCCAAGCAGAAACCATCCTTTCTGCAATCTATGGCTCTGGGGCTTTGATCCAGCCCCATTCTTACAGATCCTCTCTCCAGGACACAAAAACACTTGTCCAGATGACCACTTCTGCTTCTAGATCAAGCTCTGGAAACCTAAAATGGTTTGCCCAAGGGTCCCTTAGGCTCTTCCTGAGCCTCGGACACTTCCTAAATCCAATTACCCCAGGGGAAGCATGAGCACACTGAAGTTGCCCCTTGCAAGGATCTGGTCAGAATGGCTGTAGGGGCTGGGATGCCCACCTGCATGAGTGAAATCCCTTATAATACAGGACTAAGCTGGGGGGGTGAACACAGAGGGAGGCAGAGTATGAAACTGGGGGCTGTTCTAGCATAGAAGCTAGAGCAATCCAACAAATCTCAATTTGAAATTGTTAGGCCGCTAGGAGATATATTTGTCAAAGTCAAAGAGGGTACAATGTGTTCACTGTTGCTGCTGCTCTCTGGTGTTATGGGTGACAAAGCTTAGGGGCCACACAGTTCACCCAAAAGTGCCTGGGAGTCTAATCTAGTATCTTATACTTTACCATGAGTGGCAGCTCAGGCTCAGATGTTTATTAACTAGATACATTAATTTTTAGTGCGTTATCTTGCCCAGGACACTACAATGGCAGAACTAGGCCTTCAAAGAATAAAAAAACTGGAATAGAGACAGTTCTGAAACCAGGATGTGCCTTGCATGGTAGGCAGAGCTGTATTCATGCCAAGGGCAAGGAGAAATCACTGAGGGGTGTCATTCAGGGAAGGAACAGGATCAGGTGGTTCAGAGCGATTAGCTCCCAGCTGTGCTGAAGGAAAGTAAACAGGGATCAGCCAAACAGAGAGTGGAAGAGAGGCAGAGAAATTAAAATGCTTCCTAGGTCAAGTCACCCTCCAGTTACTGCATTTGAAGCCTCAGCTGGTACCCCGCACTCCTACCTCTCTTCCCTGATTTACTTTTCTCCTTAGCACTATCCTCTGGTTTGTATATTTTACTTATTCAGTTATTGTTCATCTTCCCTGAATGGAAAGTAACCTTTAAGTGAGTCATCATGAATTTTGTATTCCTTTCACTGTCTCAGTGGTTAGATAGCACATTATTCCAAGTGCCTAGTGTCCAGCACATGCAAAACTTTAAGGTGCTGAGAAAGCAGGGGTAGCGACTAAGGGCATGGAATCTGGAGGGAGTGTTCCTTGCTCTGAATCCTGGCTCTAATATTTTCCTAGAGAAACCTTAAGCAAGTAACTTTTAACTTCTCTACACCTTAGTGCTGTAAGACTTGAATATGAGTACCAAATGACAAAGTTATTTTATAGATTAAGTTTACTAATACAGAGAAAGCCCTTATGATGGTATCAGACACAGTTTGTACTATAGAAGACTTTGGGGCTGCATGAGATACTTTTGGTCCATTTCATTTTTCATTTCATTTCATCATCCTGTTAT